CCAAATCCTCTGAAAGTGCAATTGCAACAATGTGTCTGTTTAAGCATTTCACACTTGCTCACTGCCTAAAAGAGGCACACAGGCAAAAGCAACTGAGCTGCCACCATACCACAGAAAAATTAAAGTCAAGCTCTTTACAGGAGAAACCCTACATCTCTAAATCCAAAGGGTATTTTTAAGCCTTAACTGATAACTCACTTATTTCAAACAGAGAGCCGGGGAGATGGCTCAGTTGAATAAGCGCTTCCCTTGCAAGCACAAGGGCCTGAGTTCTATCCCTGGTTCCACACACACACACACAAAAAAAAAAGATTGTATTTCAAACAGAGAGACAAAACCTCAGAACAAAATATTACCACTTGCAGCTGATTATAATGGCACTTGGCCTGAACAGATAAAGTCAGTGATCACACAAATCAAAAGCCAGAAACAAGCCAAGATTCAAAATTCCCACTGGCACAAGCAAAACGTCATGCTTCTGTAACACCTTCCTCTGTCATTCACCATAGATAGCCACACAGCAGAAACTACTTATCAACAGTTACTTTCTAAACACTATATTAAGGTCAAAGTAGGAAATTTTTCAAACTGTACAGTATTGAGAAAAAATGAAATCAAGAGTCCCGGACCAGGGAGATGGCTCAGTGAAATAAGCGCTTCCCTGGCAAGCACAAGGGCCTGAGTTCAATACCTGGTTCTGCCAAAAAAAAAAAAAAAAAAAAAAAACCCGGGCTGGGGAGATAGCTCAGTAGAATAAGCACTTCCCTGGCAAGCGCAAGGGTCTGAGTTCAATCCCCGGTTCCACAAAAAAAAAAAAAAAGAAGAAGAATCCCTCCAGCTATAACTATTTAAGCAATCACACACTGCTGATCTTATACTGAGCACTCCAAATGTTTAACTCTGCTTGTAATTCTTTACCAAGTTTCCTAACAGTCAGAACCTCCAGTATCTGCATGTGTGAGAAATTTGCCAATTCACAAGATTCACCTGTACCGCACTGATAAGGACCAGCACAATAAGTTCAGAATGAAAAATACCTCTTGATATCTAAGACTTTGAAATTAGCCCCACAGCAAAGGGTCATATGCCAATGGGTAATGGGCACACTGCTGGTCATCGCACCATTCTATTCTATAATTAACAGCTATTATAACACAACACTAGCTTTTAAGTAGCCACTTAAAGTCAAGGTACATGTAAAAGCTCAGTGACTTTATAATACTCTGCCCAAATTTATGTGATAAATACAAGATTTGAACATGAGAGTAACTTGTTTACTTTATTTCTTAAGGAAACAAGGACATGTGAATTTAGGTGCCACTGTCTGTTTTAAAGAAAACACATCAGAAAAGTATTAACTGTAATATTGTTTTATCCTTTATGGAAATATATCTATACATTAATTTTACAGCCATAACTAAGTTGTGAATATTGATAAAAACTGATTCAGCTATTAAAAACCAAAAATACGAAAATGTCAGAATTTGAAAATCATGGAAACTTAACACTGGGAGTGTACTTTATTTTATTTTTTGGCAGAATCGGGGATTGAACTCAGACCCCTGCACTTGCCAGGGAAGTTCTTATTCCACTAAGCCATCTCCCCCGCCCCGGGAGTGTACTTTAATGACAGAACACTCGCCTGTGAGGCTCCAGGTTTGGTCCCCGGCATGAAAAAGAAAACCTAACACCATCCTCTTAGTTCTTCCACCATCAGTAATTTTGCTGTTCCTGATCCCCTGCCCAACAGCCCCCACCACATACACAGAAACAATGTTAATGCTATTTATGTAATCACATAGGGCCTTATACAAGGCCCCACAAAATACCAGAGGCTCCTGCAACCAAATTCAACTGCAGTCTTTCAAAGTCACAACTACTTATTCCCACACTCACTTTATGAGACAGAGAAATTTAAGACTGTACCTCAAAGTCATCATCTTATGTTGACTCTTACATTTACAACCCAATGTGTGACACTATCACAAATATCCAATGAAATCTTCTATTCCTTCCGGATGCAGGGGACCTCAATCTCTTCATAGTATAGCTCTATAATCTTCTCTACCTAAAGGATGTCTGAATGTGGAAAAGCCACATTCCTTCCACATTCCCTTTAGACTTCAGTAATGGGGAACTAAGCTCAGGCCAAACCAACTCAACAATACCCCTTCCTGAAGGGGGTCCCACCCAGTTCAGCTCAGTCAGAGCCAGACCAGCCTGTCATACACCCAATCACCTTCTAGGCTTGCTCCCTGTGTAGTCAGTGCAAGTCCATTCATCCATCTCAGAGTGCTGCCATAAGCATTCTCCAGCACCAGCTTTCCAGCATGCCTTGCACAGCAGGTATGAAAGGTCATGGCTGCACCAGTGGGCATGCCTGTCTCAGATACATACAAGATGATAGGATGGAATGAAATGGACAACTCCACCCCCAAAGTCCTGGGGCTGACTTGGCAAAAACTGATCTGCAACCATCAACTCACTATCAAAGCAACTGCCAATGCCACTTCTTTGCACTGCCATAGGTTCAGGGCACGCAGTCACCAGGGTGCCTTCTTAGCTCCAAAAGTGGACACACATGGAAAAACAGTCCAGGTAAGGAAAACTGCACCATAACTTCAAAGTTAACACTGTAATATACATTTCTAGTACATTTCTCTCAGAACAGAAACCCTACTTTTGTTTTGACACTTCAATACAAGAATTTACAATACTCAATTGTTCTCTTAATTCACTAAAAAGAAAAAATTCTGTAGCTACTCTGCTAGTAAGAATATCACTTAAAATGCTAAGCATTTTAGCTAATGAAAAATGAACTTTAGAATTTAATCTATGGGCTGGGGTATATATAGCTCAGTGGCATTAAGGGCCTGCCTGGCAAGGCAAGGTCCCCGGTTCAGTCCCCGATACCACAATAAATAATATTTAATCTACATTGTCAATAAACTGAAAAGGCTTTCAATAATAAATATTTCCTGCTACTGGTAACACTTTGCCAAATAAGGAACTCCTGTTTCTTATGAAGTAACAAGTTAACTATGTTTGTAGGTTTGGCAAATCCTTTTGTTGTTGTTGTTTTTTAAACTGGGGATAAAACCCAAGGCCTTTACACAGAGCTGCATCTGTAGCCTGTTTTGAGAAGGGGATTTCACTAAAATTGCCCAAGCTAGGCTTGAACTTTGGGCAAAAGCCTCTAAGAATAGAAACAGGCAGTTGTTACTAGACAATGTTTCTAATTTAATTCTCTACATATAGGAGAGAAATTAACACCAGATTGGAAAAGAAAATCAGAAGATAAGACAAATTATATGAAGGTCAATGAAATGTACCTGAAAAAGTCAAGATATTTAATATTTTACACTTAGAAACTCAAAAACATTAAATTACCAAGTTTAACCTGAAATACTTATTTGCTTATTTTTTATTCAACATTTTATGAAAACTAAAGGCTGGAGATAGAGCTAATGGCAAAGTGGTCACCTAGCATGCACAAAGCCATGGGCTCTATGCCCAGCACTTAAGGAAAAAAAAAGATACACTGGCTAAACATAAAACTGACTAAAATTTGCAAAAGGTGCTTACAGTTTTTTCCAAGGTAGCCAATTCATATAATATGCCTCTAAAAATTCTTTTTAAGGGGATATAATTTCTCCCTCAATTTTTTCAATTTCTGGGAAATGGAGATCAACTGAGATACTTTTCAGCACATATGTATCACTTTAGAACCTTTAAGAATCACATCTTATTGCATAATTTGACCCCTCTCAAAATTCCCTACTAGAACTAAATCAGACCCTTGAAGTACCTTCCAAATTATTCTAATGAATATTAAATACAGAGGAATCCACAAAAATACAAATCAACTTATTCTTAACAACAATACTCATTAGGAACATGAATACAGATGATGTTTTTGTCCCCATGTCCTATTTTTTGGACTTTTATTACTACATGTTTTGCAATACACAGTGGTCAAATCCAATGTAGGGGGTTGAAACATGTACAGGACAAATTTCAATTCCCTTCTTTTTCCTCTCTCCCTCCTGTCACCATCTATCTCTGCAGAGCATATCCTCCTGTCCTCCAGAACACGCAGTTGCACCAAATCTTAACCAGATACAGGCAGCCCTGGTTTGAATTAACTTCAAGCTTATTGTTCGGCCTGGAGGGGGTGGGGAAGAGGGTGGGAGAAGAAGCAGAAATTCTAATCCCACTTGCAAAACCCAGAAGGGGACAAACTACCCAAACACCACTGGAAGGGACCAGAGCCTTTCCAGTTAGTTACAGAGCCTAAAATTGGCCTGCGCTAGAGAAAGGAGCTATTTCGAAAAATAATTCAGTGGCTGAAACCGTCTGCAAATATTTTGTGAAGTAACACACTACATATGCTCTCAGAGAAAAGGGAAACGCACTGCCGAAGTAGCATAAAAATTCCAGGCTTTGCCACGTCTTGATGGGTATTTGTAAGCAAAAATATGCCAAGCCATGGAGTGAGCAGGGACAAAGGCGGTGTTTGCAGAAACCTGCATAACTTTGGAATGAGAGGACTTCTGGGCATTTGCTCAGTATTCTAATACCCACTGTTCAGCTAACAGAGTAAAGGCAAATTCCTTTCCTCTCAGAAGCACCCACCACGGCCTCCTAACCCGGACAGAGGGAAAGGCAAGCTGCACCCGGGCCTGAGGGCAGCTGCGTTCACCTATCCTGATCACTGACTGCCTCCTAAAACCCCGCAGATTCGCACAGACGGCTGGTTGAGACTTTGACTTGCTGTGGTAGCAGCCCGACCTGCTCGGCAGAAAGTATTTGCTGGGAGAGCTTCCTACACAAACAGACTCGATTACTTCCCACAATTATCATCAACACGCACCCCTACCGTAAATTTCAGTGCCAAACCATAGTGCCGCTCCCTAAATGTAAAACGAAAAGAAGTTGTGTTCAATTGTATAGTGCCCCTCTCCCCCAAATGCCGCGAGAACAGAAAAAAAGTGGCTCACCTTTGCCTTTTGGGGACCGAGTGTTCAACTTCTATGGGTTTCCCGTGCAGTTCCGTTTTACCTGCGGACATAGGACAGATGAGCCCCTCGGCCAACCCTAAAGACCTGCACAGCTTACTAAGCGGCGACACGAATGGCTCCTGACACTCTGAATGGCCCCCACGGCCGAACGACAAGCCAGGCACCGCGTGGGTGGGAGGCTGAGCCCTTCGGGTGGGTGTGGGGGTTTTGGTCTACAGAGGGCTGACCAGAGCCAGATCCAAGTGGCACCACTTGTGACACTCTAGCCCTCCATCTCTCTCGCCACCTCAAGTCACCCAACCCCACCAGGCCCGAAGCAGCGACGCAGCCCCTCCCCACAGAACAAACCCGGGCAGGGGGCGCTGGCTTTCTTCCGGCGGGGCGCCCCGGCCCTCCTCTCCGGTTTACGCCGGGCCCACCGGGAACACTTGGTGGGTGTGGAGAGGACCAGAGCGGCTGTACGGGGACGGGGCAAGCAGAGAAGGAAAAGAAAAGGCGAACGGCCAGAGGCGCAGCTCGGCGCAGACCGAAGCGGGCGCCACCGGCGGCAAGGCAACAGCCTGCAGCCCGAGTTGATAAAGGGGAAGCTGAAAGGCACGGGGCTTCGCGGAGACCCGACGCAGGCTTCCCCGTGGGCGTCCGGGCCCCGCCCGCCGCCGCGCCGCGCGTGTCCCCGGGGCCGAGCGC